CGGGGGTGGCCACCAGCCCCGCCATCCTGGGCTCTCTCCAGTATTCCTGCATGTTGCCACCACACCCCTGTCTGGATTCCACCCCAAGAGGGGCAGAGCAGGGCACAGGTCTGACCCCTTCACGCTGCTTGGCTCGCCTCGCTTGTCCAGACCCCATCATAGAAGTGGGCTTTCCTTCCTCTTCTCATCCTGGAAGCGTTTTTCTTCCCTTGTATGCGCCCTTTCCTCAGAAGCTGCTGGACCTCCCTTGAGGACAGGAGTCTCCCCTCTGCTCTGTTCTGCCCCACCAGTCACAGCTCTGGCTGCATGTCCCAGGGCCCCCCGGAGGTGGGACTGCAGAGGACAGTAGTGTGGGTCCCCTGCCCTGAGGACAAGGACAGCACTTCCCTTCCACCACACGCATCCCTGTCTCCAGGGCTCTGTCTCCACCAGGGGCTCACTTTCTCTGCCTTTGCCATCATCTCTCTGCTCTCTCCCATCGCTTAGTCCCTTTTCTCCGCATTCTGGGAGGGGGAGCAAACTTGACTTCGAAATCAGCGGTTCTCAAACCTTTGTGCCTCAGGACCCCTTCATATTTCCTAAATTAATGAGAACCCCAAAGAGTTTTATTCACATGAATCATATCTATTAATATTTACCACATCAGAAATTAAAACTGGGAGTTAAAAATATTTATTTATTCACTCATTTAAAATAACTGTAAACCCCCTATATGTTAACATAAATATAGTTTTTATAAAAAATGAGACTTTCCCAAAATAAGAGCATGAATCAGGTCAATGGTGTTGTTCTGTTTTTGCAAATCCCTTTAATGTCTGTGTAGCAGGACAGCCACAGACAAGAACCCCTTAGACACCAAATTGTAGAAGGAAAGGGCTTTATTCAGCTGGGAGCATTGGCAGACTCACGTCTCCAAAAACCGAGCTCCCCGAGTGAGCAATTCCTGCCCCTTTTAAGGGCTCACAACTCTAAGGGGGTCCATGTGAGAGGGTTGTGATCGATTGAGCAAGCAGGGGGTACATGACTGGGGACTGCATGCACCTGCACTTGTAATTAGAATGGAACAGAACAGGACAGGGATTTTCACAGTGCTTTTCCATACAATGTCTGGAATCTATAGATAACATAACCGATTAGGTCAGGAGTCAATCTGTAACTACCAGGCCGAGGGTGTGGCACCAGGCTCTCTGCCTGTGGATTTCATTTCTGCCTTTTAGTTTTTACTTCTTTTTTCTTTGGAGGCAGAAATTGGGCATAAGTCAATGTGAGGGGTGGTCTCCTCCCTTATCTGGAACAATAGAAGACAGCTGAATTCTCTACTTGCTTCTGCATTCAGTGGGTGATAACACATTGTCTGGGCTGTAGTATTTGAAGAAAATCTAGGCTCATACAGATATATAATTGAAAAAATGAGTGTTAGGCTTTGCAGATGATAATTAACATTATGTGTTGTTACAGCATGAAAACCTGGAAGTTGGAGTTAGTAGTTTTTTGTTGTCGTTGGGTTATTTTTGTTTTTTGTTTTTTGGTTTTTTTTTTGAGGCAAAGTCTCGCTCTGCCACCCAGGATGGAGTGTAGTGGTGCAATCTCAGCTCATTGCAACCTCTGCCTCCCACGTTCAAGTGATTCTCCTGCCTCAGCCTCCTGAGTAGCTGTCACTACAGGTGCGTGCCACCATGCCTCGCTAATTTTTGCATTTTTAGTAGAGACAGGGTTTCACCATGTTGGCCAGGCTAGTCTCGAGCTCCTGATCTCAGGTCATCCACCTGCCTCGGCCTCCCAAACTGCTGGAATTACAGGCGTGAGCCACCGCGCTCAGACAGTTGGTAGTTTCTTAAAGGTTAGTTGTGATGTGGAATCTGAAACCACATTAATGAACTTTTCCTTTCCTGTTTGTTAAAATCCATTGGTCTTTCTTGCACTTGAGGTGGATTTTCTACCCCTGTGTGATTTTTGCAACACCGTGCATTAATCATTTGGAAGACTCTGGCTCACTGAGTTATGCAGACTTCTCAAATGTTGACACATTTCATATGCATCCCAAAAGAGAACCACTCTCACCAGCGATCTCATCAAAAGTCTCCTGGTGTTGGAAACTGTCAAGCTCACAGCAGGCGATATATGTTTTCCAAAATTCTACTTTGTGCTTGAAAGCTTCCGTTTCATTACTGGCAGTAAATACTGTCACTTCTTTTTCTTGAAGTGAGAGTCGCACTTTGTTCATTTTTGAGAAAATATCTGCCACGCACCCAAGTCGAAACAGTTCATCTCCCTGTTGTTCTCTCAAGTGAAAATGGTATTTCATAAGAAAAGTTTCTAGCTCAGGTTGCAATCTGAACAATTGCCCAAACCCGTCGATAGAAATATCTGTCACCTTCAACATGCAGCTCCAATCCCGTCCTCCTCCAATCCCGTCCTCCTCCAAGCTCATCACGCAGAATACTCAAAAGACATGGACGGGGGCCACAGTTCAAAAAGACTCATAACTTTTAGTGTTTCATCAAGGTGATTCTTAAATGCAACTGTTTTTTCTTCTCATTTCTTTTTCTTTTTTTTTTTTTTTTTGAAACAGAGTCTCGCTCTGTCACCCAGCCTGGAGTGCAGTAGTACAATCTCGGCTCACTGCAACCTCTGCTTCCCTGGTTCCAACAACTCTCCTGCCTCAGCCTCCCGAGTAGCAGGGATTACAGGGGTGCACCACTGTGCCTGGCTAATTTTTGTGTTTTTAGTAGAGACGGGGTTTCACCATGTTGGCCAGCTGGTCTTGAACTCCTGACCTCAGGTGATCCGCCTGCCTCGACCTCCCAAAGTGATGGGATTACAGGCATGAGCCACTGCGCCCAGCTCCTTTCTTTTTTGATGAAGGATACAGTGACTGCCAGTGCCGTCGGGCCCACTGCCCTGACTTGTGCTAAAGCCCCAGCAGTTTATCCACCATTGTTTTTACACCTTCAGTGCAGGCGTCGAAGGGCAAAGAAAAGGCAAATGATGTCTTAGCATTATTACAAAAATAGCCTTGCCCTTGTGACCCGCCCCCTAAAGGATCTTAGGAACCTCCAGAGGAGAGGCCCCTGGACCACACTTTGAAGACCACCATTGGAAATCATGGAATCTAATATTCCACGGTAGAAGTTGTGCCCATTGCCCCCTCCATTGTGGGTTGTGATTCCTCGCCATCTCCGTCTTAACCGGTTCTTCTCCATCTCCACCAGCATAGCCGGTGGTGCTCCCGTCTCAGCCTGATTTCCTCCCATGTCTCCTCTGTCCCTCTCGTTGAGACTATACATACTTGCTTATGCCCCATTCAGCACGCCAAGCTGACTTGTTTCAAGTCTGTTTCTGATGGTAAGTCACATTCAGGAGGGTCTTTTATTCCTGAAGCTAACTTTAACTTGAAGCCACGTGCCTGGCTTTTGCCTGTTGAGGAGTGACTTCTGGTCAACCCAATAAACAGAGTGCATGGAGTGCTCCGGCCCCATTCACCCCTCAGCATCTGAAGCTGCGGGTCTGGTTGATACATCCTGGAGTAGCTGGCAGGTGTCATCTGGCCTCCCCAAATGGAGTCTTCTCTGCCCTCCCTTCCTGGTCTCTGGCTATGAAGAAGGGAAGTTATGTTTTAAAGAATCTAAAGCACAGTACAGTTATCCTTTTCCCCAGTTTCAGCCCCGGAAATATATCAACCTCCAGCTGCTGCCCCAGGACACTTCTGGGCTCTTATTTAAGAGGACTCCTCCGGCCTGGGATGCAGGGCAGCGCACATGTCCTTGTCTTTCTTCCTGCTGTGCTGGGCCTCGGGGTATCGTTCTGCCTGGATACAGAAGAAGAGCTACTCCCTGGGACACAGGCTGGACAAGCCCTGTCCGGCGAAGGGGTGGCCTCCAGGTTTTCTAGTTAGTGCAGAGCTGGCAAGAGTGGAAATGGAGGGGGTGAGGCCCTTCCCATCTGGTTCCAGGGACTTGTGCTCCTCTGTTTGGGGCAAAGATTTTACCTTGTCAGTGCAGCTTTATCTAAACTGTAGTCTGTGGATGGCGGTATCCCCCTAGATTCCTACAACTGCTTGACACTTTTTCTGTTGGTTTTTGAAGCGATGACGAGAGCCTGATTTTGTGTCCATCTCAGTGAATATTTTTGTAAATAGTTGAGAGAGGAAAATCAGTGAAGTTCAGCCAATTGCACTTGAAACCGGAGGTGGCCTCCCACTGCCTTGTGGGACTCTCCAGTCTCTTCACCTTTGCCACACTCTGGGTGTCCCCATCCAAATCAGTGCACTTCAGAGTTCTCTGGAGACAATGGCATCTAGTGTCCTTCTTGTTTGTGTCACTAAGAATGGATTAATTTTACCTCATCTGAAACTGAAAATATGACGTTTGGCAGACATTCTCTGAACTCTAGAACAAAAGAAATGTGTTCATTATCATCTAAGGTACATTTTCCAATCAGTTCGACTTGGCAGGTTCACCAGGAAGCTGTGTCCGTTAAACTCGGATGGTCTAGGAGAACTGTAGTTTTCCTGAGACTTCTGGGCGCTGGATGATTCCTGCTCTGGAAACGCCGAGCCGTTTCAGTCGCGCTCTGGGGGAGCTCAACTCTTGCCCCCTGCTGGGAGAGACCCAAAAATGCTTGATCAGGAAACACCATCTGGCTTTGCCCTCAGGACTCTGTGACCGCCCTGGGGAGGGTGCAGTGACCTGCCAACCAAAATTGGTACAATTGTAAACAGCCACAGAAATGCTTGAATGCAATGTCATTTCTATGAAATTAACGTGTTTCCATTCCATTCCATTCCAGCCTACCAAAATTGCCCGTTTGAGCTCAGCCCTCAACACAAAGATGCCTGTGTGCCTTTGCCCAACTTTGGGTCACTGTTTTCTGCATAGGAGACGTTTACTGTGTGTGTGTATGTGTCTGTGTCTGTGTGTGTGTGTGTACATGTACACACTTAAAGCCTGTGGCAAAAACAAGATGCCCAATATATTTCTTGTTTCTGATATTTTTCCAAGGGGGTTGAAGGGCAAGATTAAGAAGGAAAGCTCCAAGAGGGAGCTGCTTTCCGACACTGCCCATCTGAACGAGACCCACTGCACCCAGTGCCTGCAGCCCTACCGGCTGCTTGTGAATAGCAAAAGACAGTGCCTGGAATGTGGCCGCTTCACCTGCAAAAGCTGTGGCCGCGTCCACCCCGAGGAGCAGGGCTGGATCTGTGACCCCTGCCATCTGGCCAGGTGAGCCCAGGCCTTGAGGTAAAATGATCTTGATAGTTTCTGGATCTGGCGTGTCCCTTCGGTGAGGCTCGCTGAAGAAGGGTGGATGCACACACGTGCACGCTTGTGTGTGTGTGTGCGTGTGTATGTGTTATTTATGCAGACCTGTGTTCAGCACTTAGGCAGTGCCACGCGCCTGTGTTTGTCACTGCAGAGTCGTGAAGATCGGCTCACTGGAGTGGTACTACGAGCACGTGAAAGCCCGCTTCAAGAGGTTCGGAAGTGCCAAAGTGATCCGGTCCCTCCATGGGCGGCTGCAGGGTGGAGGTAAGCAGTGGACAGTGGGAAGGGCTTTTAGTTCCCAGGCATTTTAGGAATATTAAAGCAGGTTCCTTTGGAGTGTGCGTGTGTGTGTATGTATGTGTGTGCGTATGTGTGTGCACGTGTGTGTGCGTGCGCATGCCTCTCTGTCTCTTCCGCTGCTGTTTTTTTAAATTGAATTTTTGTAGAGACAGGCGTCTCACCATGTTGCCCAGGCTGGCCTCAAACCCCTGGGCTCAAGCAATCCACCCACCTCGGCCTCCCGAAGTGCTGGGGTTATAGGCGTGAGTCACTGCGCCCTGTGAAATTGGCTCCTTTTCATGTGAGGTGCAAACCTCTGCATCCCACTGGCCTGGTCTGAGTGCCTCAGAAGTCCTGGGTGCTGTTGAAGTTGCCAATATTTGAAATTATATTGTTTTCAAATCTTCAAAGTAAGTTGAGAACTCAAAGCCAAGTTTCTGAAACCCAGCTGCTGATTGAATCACCAGGGTGCTTGTTAATACTACATGTTTTCCAAGCCCTTCTTCCCTGGGACATCTGGTTTGGGGCCTAGACTCTCTCTTTTCAACAAACATTTCCCATGAATGGTGATTATCAGGATTTAGAGAAATCTGTTACAATTCAGTTGTTTTTGTCTTTTGAATCCAAGTATTTATTTCACAATGACATTGAAATCCAGGCAGTAGTCTTAAACTAAACAATCTGTTTGCCTGTAATATCCCCCATAAGGCATTTGGAAGAGATGTTTTCACGGGGAGGGTGGGAGGATGCCAGAGGCTCTTCTGCGTTTGAGTTTGAAGGGAGCTAAACCAACAGTGTTTTTGAGAAAGTTCACCTTGTCCCTGTTACCTGAGTCCAAGGCTCTTGTCACTAAGCCTGGTCAAGCATTCGGGGGGGACAGCCCCCACCAAGCCAGGTGTCTGGGGTCTCAGTGTCCTGGATGACTCCATCTGCAAGGCGAGTTTCTCCAGGGTCACGAGGCAGCTGCCTGGCTCCAGCAGCTGGGCACATCCAGGGCAGAGGCTGTGCTTCTGGATTGGGGCGTCCTTACCATGCCCCAGCCCAGGCGTCTCCCCCAGGCCTTCTTTCTGGAGAGACACCTTATTCGTGCCTGTCCCTCAAAGCCCCAAGTTTGATTGGAGAGGCAGAAGTTGGCATATATGCCCTTTGAGCATTCAAGCTCTTGCTGGGCCTGCCGCAGGCATTTCAAGGCATCTTAGCACATCGTTTAATTTAGGACAGAGGCCACGGAGAGGCACCCCTGGAGCAGCACGCTGAGCAGCACAGGGTGGCTGCACTTCTTGAGTGGTGGGGGTGAGGGTGGGGGCAGGTGTGATAAATCACCCAAACCAGGGCATTTTTAAGAGTAAAAGGAGGCTCTACTGATAACATGCTGCAACAATAGATGTGACTAGGAATGGCCGATGACTTGGGGACAGGCCGTCACCCTATTCCTGGGCTGCTTCTTCACAGTGATCATGAAACCCAGCAGCAAATCCTACCTCCCACATGCACACGGCCAGCCTGGAGCCCACCATAGGGTCCTCCTGCAGCGGATAGAGCTTGGTCCAGCCTCCAGTCCACCCCTACCAGGCGTAAGGATAGAAATGACACGTAACACCGGGAAAAGCCATGCTGTCAAGCATCTGAGAATGTCAACCCCAGAGGCAGTCTTTAGGGACTGGGGTGGGCTCAGGAAGCTGTATTATTTCAAAGAATGCAGTGTTTCAACAGCTCAGCCCAGAGGTGCTGGACTTTACACGGCCCGTCAGAACCTGCTGACTTCAAAATCATCACCACCAAGGGCCAGGAGGTGGCGCTGTGGGGCAACAGAAAACAGAAAACAGCTGTTCCTTGAACTTGAATTCCCAGCAGCTCCCCCAAGCGCCCACAGGGGCTGCGTTCCTCCCTGCTGGGCGCCTGTAACTACAACATTAAAACAGGGCGCAAGCAAGGAACACAAAAACTGGGAAAGCTGTGCCTTTAAAAAAAAAAAAAAAAAAAGTAGGGTAAAAAAGCTTGAGGTTAATGTTTTGAAACCTGGCCCAGCCAGGGCCTAATGCAGACCTTGTCCAGCTAGTTAGTAAGTGGACCGCTGGGGTCTTCATTGAGTGAACCTTCAGAGCGCTGGATGTTTCACCAAGGCCTTCCATAGGGGACCTGGCAGGCTCTGCAGGAGGCAGCCTCGATGGCCGATGGCCAGGAGAGGAAGGGGAAAGACCTGGACTGGTCGCTGAGCACACAGTTCCCCCATCCCCCTGCCTTCCCTCCCAGTGCCTTTCCATTTCCCTCGGTGGTGGCTTTGCCTGACAGTGCAGACCTCGCCTGACGTCAACACTAAGTTCTTTATACTCATGTGGTTTTATTTTTTTTTTCTCCTCCCTATCAAGAGTGGTCAGAAAATCTCTGTTCTGTGTCAGGAACATGGAAGATCTTTTGGATTTTTTTTTTTTTTTTAGCATGACTTGATCAGATAGGTAGGATAACGTCGCCCAAACCCCTGGCCCAAGTGCAGAGTGACAAAAGGGATCAACACTAAAAGGACCCCTGAGATGCCGGGATACTTCCTCTTCACGTTCATCGTGGGGACCGGGGACATCACCCTGACAGGTGGGTCCCCAGGCCCCGGAAAGCCCATTTCCACATCCCTGAATGCAGGGGGAGTTCACGTCTTGGGGCCTCTGCCTGTTGGTTTGAGATGCGTCTCCTCAAGGCACTCACTTGTCCAGAGAGAACAAAAATAAAACCAGGTCTGCTCTCTGGCACTGTCATCTGGGCACATTTGGAGCCAAAAACCTTGACCTTCTGAAAGTTCACTGAAAAATCATCTCGTAAAAGGCAGATTCACTGGACAAAAAACATAGAAATGTGTTCACCGTGTATACACGGGAGCCTTCAGAATGCAGACCCACAGATGCAGGAAAATTGTCCATTTTTATGCTTGGATTCAAGAAAGTATGGACAGCGTGTGGAAAGGGATTATACAAGGCCAGACCTACTGCCGATAGGCTGAGTAGGGAACCCAGCAAGGCCTGTTTGTCTACGTTCTTCTTGGCCTTTCTCCCTCCAGGAATGGGCGGGACCCTCTCTGGAGTTTTCCCTCGGTGGTGGCTTTGCCTGACAGTGCAGACCTCGCCTGACGTCAACACTAAGTTCTTTATACTCATGTGGTTTTATTTTTTTTTTCTCCTCCCTATCAAGAGTGGTCAGAAAATCTGGGTCTCAGTGTCCTGGATGACTCCATCTGCAAGGCGAGTTTCTCCAGGGTCACGAGGCAGCTCCAGCAGCTGGGCACATCCAGGGCAGAGGCTGTGCTTCTGGATTGGGGCGTCCTTACCATGCCCCAGCCCAGGCGTCTCCCCCAGGCCTTCTTTCTGGAGAGACACCTTATTCGTGCCTGTCCCTCAAAGCCCCAAGTTTGATTGGAGAGGCAGAAGTTGGCATATATGCCCTTTGAGCATTCAAGCTCTTGCTGGGCCTGCTGCAGGCATTTCAAGGCATCTTAGCACATCGTTTAATTTAGGACAGAGGCCACGGAGAGGCACCCCTGGAGCAGCACGCTGAGCAGCACAGGGTGGCTGCACTTCTTGAGTGGTGGGGGTGAGGGTGGGGGCAGGTGTGATAAATCACCCAAACCAGGGCATTTTTAAGAGTAAAAGGAGGCTCTACTGATAACATGCTGCAACAATAGATGTGACTAGGAATGGCCGATGACTTGGGGACAGGCCGTCACCCTATTCCTGGGCTGCTTCTTCACAGTGATCATGAAACCCAGCAGCAAATCCTACCTCCCACATGCACACGGCCAGCCTGGAGCCCACCATAGGGTCCTCCTGCAGCGGATAGAGCTTGGTCCAGCCTCCAGTCCACCCCTACCAGGCGTAAGGATAGAAATGACACGTAACACCGGGAAAAGCCATGCTGTCAAGCATCTGAGAATGTCAACCCCAGAGGCAGTCTTTAGGGACTGGGGTGGGCTCAGGAAGCTGTATTATTTCAAAGAATGCAGTGTTTCAACAGCTCAGCCCAGAGGTGCTGGACTTTACACGGCCCGTCAGAACCTGCTGACTTCAAAATCATCACCACCAAGGGCCAGGAGGTGGCGCTGTGGGGCAACAGAAAACAGAAAACAGCTGTTCCTTGAACTTGAATTCCCAGCAGCTCCCCCAAGCGCCCACAGGGGCTGCGTTCCTCCCTGCTGGGCGCCTGTAACTACAACATTAAAACAGGGCGCAAGCAAGGAACACAAAAACTGGGAAAGCTGTGCCTTTAAAAAAAAAAAAAAAAAAAGTAGGGTAAAAAAGCTTGAGGTTAATGTTTTGAAACCTGGCCCAGCCAGGGCCTAATGCAGACCTTGTCCAGCTAGTTAGTAAGTGGACCGCTGGGGTCTTCATTGAGTGAACCTTCAGAGCGCTGGATGTTTCACCAAGGCCTTCCATAGGGGACCTGGCAGGCTCTGCAGGAGGCAGCCTCGATGGCCGATGGCCAGGAGAGGAAGGGGAAAGACCTGGACTGGTCGCTGAGCACACAGTTCCCCCATCCCCCTGCCTTCCCTCCCAGTGCCTTTCCATTTCCCTCGGTGGTGGCTTTGCCTGACAGTGCAGACCTCGCCTGACGTCAACACTAAGTTCTTTATACTCATGTGGTTTTATTTTTTTTTTCTCCTCCCTATCAAGAGTGGTCAGAAAATCTCTGTTCTGTGTCAGGAACATGGAAGATCTTTTGGATTTTTTTTTTTTTTTTAGCATGACTTGATCAGATAGGTAGGATAACGTCGCCCAAACCCCTGGCCCAAGTGCAGAGTGACAAAAGGGATCAACACTAAAAGGACCCCTGAGATGCCGGGATACTTCCTCTTCACGTTCATCGTGGGGACCGGGGACATCACCCTGACAGGTGGGTCCTCAGGCCCCGGAAAGCCCATTTCCACATCCCTGAATGCAGGGGGAGTTCACGTCTTGGGGCCTCTGCCTGTTGGTTTGAGATGCGTCTCCTCAAGGCACTCA